CCTCCCATTCTACTTTTAAATACTCTAGGAACAACAAGTAGGCCTGCAGAGCGAGAGCGAAGTGCTCTAATAGGGTGATATGGTACTAGTTACATGATAACTAAGAATGTAGAGTTTCTGCAGAATAATCAGTCGCAAGTGATCCTGTCATTGTCGTTAGCATTTCTCTTCCTTTTTGTTGCTGAATATTAATCATTGGACTCTTGTTGTTATCCTCGGTGCCGCAGCGTTTGTGTCTTTTCTGACACATTTACTCAAAAATAAAACTGACCATTATTCCATTATTTACATCACCAACTACAACAACAAAACTGTGTTGCTAGCTAACATCAGAGGAAATTAATAATGTTTACATCCTGTCACATGGTCACAGTCTTTCGTTAGACGTAGTAACAGAAACGTTTCTCAGCAGAAGGAAAAACCTTCTAACACGACGCTGCTCCTGGAGTTTGTTTTTTTACCTACTGGGTCACGATTTCTGGAAAGAGACAGCAACGCTGCCATTTTTCATTTTCGTCCCACGAGGCAATACCATTTAGTTCAATTACATTCAAGAGAAGACAGACATCTCTGACAAACTGGGCATCTCACATCAAAACAATCCAGAATAAACAGAAGTGAATGAAAAACACTACAGACCAGAGTGTTTTGGGGTGAACTGTCCCTTTAAAGGCCAGCTGTCTCTCTCGTCCCATATCTGCTTCATTTTGCCGGAGGTTACAGAGTGCCGGTGCTCATAGTAATGCCTACCTTCCTGTGACCTGTGAGCTCACTGGCTGTTTGCAAACCAGCGTGACATCAACAGTAAAAACCTCGTCGTCTGCCTCCATCCTCTGGCCTCTCGTTCACCTCCCCTTCTCTTCCCTCGCACTTACTCTCTCTCTCTAATAATGCCATTTGTCTCATTGTCTGTCTTGTTTTTAAGCTCCAGTTTTCCATAAATCCAGGTCAGCAAACAATCCACGAGTAAAATCGAGCTCGTACACTTTATTATGACTCCTCAGTCACACCGTGCTTCATTTTGACTTCATGGTGCAAAACCGTGACAGCTTTTTTCCCTTCTTCTTAGCGTTATCTTGTCACATTCGGGTCGCCTTTCTTTGGCATTTTTAACAGTCTTCTTCAAACAAACATGAACACTTCTGAATATGCTGAACTCTGCCATTTTTCATGCATGTTTATTGTTTTATCGGCGCTTCCAGTGGGTTTTCTTCCCCCCATCAACACAGAACAGCCCAATCTCCATGTGGTAATAAGCTAACAGATGATAAAGTGTCCTTATCTTCATGGTAAACAGACATCATCTCTGCAGCTGACTTATCTGCCGCTGTGTAGCTGATGAAGAGCAGCTTCCTGTTTCACACAAAGCGCTCCCACATGCTAAATCCCTGTACACACAATAGCTCTAATCAAATTACTCTGAGATCCTTCACAGTCAGGGATTAAGTCTTAAGACAAAATAATACTCACTGCTGAGGCTCCAAAAGTCATTCTGTAAATCACGGGCTCATTTTATGGTCCTCCCGGATTTAGACTGAATGAAAACATGTCCATATTTGTGTGTCATCACCCAAAAAATCCCCATTTGGGCTAAAACAAGAGAAACCTGAGAGGAAAGAAGGAAAGAAGGAGGCATCTCCACCAGTGAGCAGCAATATTAAAACCACCTGTGCCAATGTTTGGTAACACCCCCTCTCTCGCTGCCAGATCAGTCCTGATCTGCAAAGGTGCAGACTGCACAAAACTGCGAATGCATCATGACCCCTTTTGTAGCAGCTTGGTGGTGGACCTTTGGTTGCTTCCATAGTTCAGGCTTGTTCATCCCTCTGAGGCCTGATTTGATTGGAATCTGGGGAGTTGGAAAGCTTTGGACACTAATCGGGAGACAGACCACTGCCATCGGGGAGTGCTGCTGCTAACAGGGCGTGTAACTCAGCAGATTTACAATCTAAGTTAGGTCTGCAAGAAGCTCAGTGCTATTCACTTCTCACTTATTTGAATGTTTTGGCTCATTCACAAAGTATAACTGCCAGTACACTCAACTTCAAGCTAAGCACTTGGACCCAGTACTTGGTCTCCTACATTGGTAGCTATAGAGGTGCTTTAGGTGTGATGGTTATTAACTTCAAGCTTTCTTCCTGACATGACTGTTTGTCAGAGCTGGAGAGTATTTAATCATTAAAGGCTTTTGTCTTTGGAGCTGACACTGATCAAGTGAAAACCTGAGACCCAAATGCATAAATATTGAACCCTGTATGACATTCAGCTTCTCCAAATGGTAAATGGCCTGCATTTGTATAGCGCAGGGGTGTCAAACTCAAATACACAGTGGGCCAAAATTCAAAACTGGAACAAGGTCGCGGGCTAACGTTAATATTTACTGAAAAAAAAAATTCTTCCTCCAGATATAAGAATGAATCTTTTCTTATGGACTCAAACAAATTTTGCTGAAAAACTGAATATGGAACAAGCAAAGCTTAATACTAAACAATATATATATTAGCTGTATAATACCAGTAGGCCAGCTCTAATAATAGTTTGGTATGGCTTCGCGGGCCAAATGTAATTAGGCTGCGGGCCAAATTTGGCCCGCGGGCCAGAGTTTGACACCTATGGTACAGCGCTTTACTCAGTCCCTAAGGACCCCAAAGCGCTTTACACTACATTCAGTCATCCACTCATTCACACACACATTGACACACTGCTGATGGCAGCTACATTGTAGCCACAGCCACCCTGGGGCGCACTGACAGAGGCGAGGCTGCCGGACACTGGCGCCACCGGGCCCTCTGACCACCACCAGTGTAAAAGGAAACCATCTGACCTGCATCCGAATAGCTTGATTGGGGCTACAGCATTTGGCCAATCTACTGTTTGGGTTTGAGCTGAACTTTGTTGCCATGCTGGTTCCTCTGGTAGCGGTTCATTGATGTCAAGTGTCAAAGTTAAAAACAGTGAGAGTTCAAAAGTTCATACACGGCAATACACGGTTTGTATTTCAGTAACCTATTTTTTAGTGTTGGCCTTTTTCTAAACAGTTTACGATGATGACCTTCCAGATGGTTCTGCATAACAAACATCTGGTGCGTCAGGTTAGTGAAACATCAACCCCTC